AGCTTTTCTTGTTTTGAATATAAGAATATGAAAGTTGCTAAATCCAGTCGACAAATAAACTTATACTCCATGCTCTATTCCATTACAATTTATTTAGGGGAAATCTCTTAAGAGTAAAAGGAAAATAGTCAGAACTACTAGCTCGCTCAAACTATTTCCCTCATGTCACTTTCAGCATTCTATTTAAATTACCTTTTCTTTAACCAGATTCTGAATTTCTATGTGTGCATAATGTTGGGTTTTTTTATGAGATTAAATCAGTGTATCCAATTTAATATCCTCATCAGCATAGGAAGCACATGGAACTACCACATGATTCAAGATCTGTATGTGGAGAAACATCAGAATCAAATATTTAATCCAGTTAGTTTAAATGCTGAATGGTGAAACATTGTGGACACTCAGGATCAGTCATACCTGCAGCAATCTGTAAAAGCATTAACATGAAGCTAAAGGCAGCTATGGAAGCTTTGGCTAGGAAAATTAATCTTTTGAGGACAGAAGGGGTGGTGGTAGGTCTTGACTAGCATAATGACCCTTCAGATGGCATTGCATCAGAATGGGTGGGTCATTCAGATTCCTAGTAGTTGGTATGTGTAACTGTGTTGGGTTTGGGGGTTTGTAGCAAGGACCTACAAGGGTGGCTTCTGTGAGAAGCTGCCAGAAGCTTCCCCTGTGTCCAGCAGAGCCAATCCCAAGGCAGCCAGGCTCCAAGATGGACCCTCTGCTGGCCAAGGCTGAGCCCATTGGCAGCGGTGGCAGCACCTCAGGGATAACAGAGTTAAGAAGTGGAAAATAAACCTGCCAAATAAACTGTCAAGGCCAGTGAAGAAGGAGAGGGAGGAAGTGGTCCAGGTGCTGGAAGCAGATTCCTCTGCAGCCCCTGGTGCAGCCCGTGGAGCTCCATGGGGCAGCAGATTCCCTTGCAGCCCCTGGAGGATCCCACACCAGATCAGGTGGATTCCTAAAGGAGGTTGTGACCTCATGGTTGTTTTTTTCCTCTTCCCTAGCATGCATTTTCCCTTCTAGAAGTGATGTTGCAGTCTAGATCAGTGAATCAAATAAAATACAAGCTTTTCATAATGGAACATTTTGGAAAACCTCATGTTCTCTCCCTATATTTTCTGGAATTTAGTTATTTTTTTCACAGTATGAAATGCAAAAGAAAAAATATGGTCAAGTCTAAATTTAGTGCTGGAGAGATCAGGAAATTAAAAGGAAAGGGAAGACCATGTGGCAACTGTATCCTGCTGTTACCTAGATATTCCAAGCATTTTAAGGTGAAGCTTGCACTATCACAATGAAATACATGAGCAGCTCTTATGCTTCTCACACAGACTGGGAAACAAAAAGACAAAGGGGGAGTATCAATATCATATCTAGTGTAAATAAGAAGTTCAGTTTACAGATGTCAACTTTCCCTACTCCAGAAAATAGTAGTGTTGTATTGTGAGAGGGCTCTTGCTATAGTTTTGCCATTCAAAGAGTTTATTTGAATCACTGCTCAATCTCAGGTTATTTTTGACCTCAGAACAGCCTTTTCTTTTCCTTTGCATTTCTGTTTCCTTATATAAAAGAGGTAGGTGGTAGGTTTCTACCTCACGGAATATTAGGATTTTTAAAAGCAAAACAAAGGAAAACCAGACTGTTAATGATTGTTACACAATCTGCGTATTACATAGAAAAATAAAAGTACAAGAGAAGAGAAAGCAAGAACAGAATTATTCCCTGATGAGCCAGGGTCAAGCCTAAGAGATCAATATGAGATTTGTACTTCATATCAGTTTTGTCTCTGTGAAAACTGAAATGTCAGATCACTACTTGGCCCTCAGATGAAAACATACATTGAAATTGTAATACGTTCCTTTTTTTATCTGGTGTTGAAAATTAAGTGTAGCAAAGAACATTATCTAATTCATTCTAATAATGAAAATTGTCATCAGACAGCAGCATGCCAAAGAAAACAGAATGTCATCTCTGAAGGGACTGCATGCACGAGTCTGTCACTAGAAGTCCCAAGAGAGGGAAGGCTTTTATAATGACAACAAAATACCATGCTGGGTTTAAGAAATATCCATATAAGCACTGTAATTGCTAAATGGGGAAAAATAATCCCAGCTGTATCATAATGGATACTTGAAAAAAATTTAGCCTCTGAATACTTCTTTTTTCTGGTCCAACTGAATAAACTCAGTTTAAAAATTAATTACACTAGAATGAAATATCTGGAAAAAAATCCTTACTGCAAAGGATAGTTTGTTTTTTTAGGGGAGAGGGGGTGGTACATAAGGTGGGGAATTTAGTCTTTTCTAAAGGTGCATTGGTGCTACTTGTGCTGCTCTGAGTCAGTAAAGGCCAAGGTTGGTGCTGAGATAATGGCAGAGGAGGAAAAACCATCTAAAACCTGGTTATTAAAGTGTATCATCAAAGACAGTGAGAGCTTTGGGTATGGGTTCCCAGAGAGCTGATATTTCCCTTTGAGAGCTGTTGCCTTTTCTCACACGCTGTCTCCACCTCACTGGGCACTGGTTTCCAATTTGAGACTCCAGCCCTGACAGTAGAATTGCTGTATCCATTTCCTGCCTTTGAAACAAACTTTAAAAGACTTGTATTTCTCCACTCTTTGCCCGAATCACGTCCCATTCAGGGCACAGACTAAGAGAAGGCAGTGCTCCCTGGGCGCTGTGCAACGTCACAGCTTCTGTTCTGCTGAGGGAGTTGTCAGATGCACCAGGTAAAGAGCCCCTCTGAAGAGCTGTGATGGAAGAGCCAGAGGGAAGCTGTGGCACTGGGACTGTTCAGCCACCTGGCACTGCAGTGGGACTGCAGGCACGACGAGCACAGAGAAAGCTTTTGTAGGCTGCAATTAATCTCAGTTAATTGTTACTATCGCCAACAAATTCAGGGAGGGAATAACCTGCTGAAAGTTGTGCACAGGGAAACTAGAGAGGAATAAGGGTGACAGATACAAAAGTGGGAAAACAAGATTTAATATGATGACTTCAGGCATCTGAACATCAGTGTCACAGTAAAGCTTAGATCCTATGTATATCTAGTCTGGAAACACAGAGGTATTTGCTGAGTTGTTTGGATTGCTCCCTGTTATTAATTAAAGAATGATATGAGCTTTATTAAAACTTAAATTACTGCATGTCAAAGACATTACTTGGCATGGAAGAAACTCCTTTGCCAGTAAAGGGAAAACACATCAGAGAGATGATAGATAATAACAATAGCTTATTGTTATTATGTTTTTATTTTTGCTACAATTATAAAAGCAGGTCTGGAAATGGATTTTGAATGTGAAGGGGAGGGGAATACCTCCTCTAATGGTAAAGTTCTTTAATAGGTGAACTCAAAAATTACTTTTAAAAATTAATGGTAAATGTTCCAAAAATTTTCTTTAATTTTCAAAAATGAAAGTTTTTCTTAGTTGTAGTTAAAGTTTCCTACAGTTTAAATAAAAATGTATCTAGAATCTTCTATTTAAGGAAAAATAGCAGACTCACCACTGAAGTTTTAAAGTGGGTGCATTTAAAACTGAAGTTTTAAAGTGGATGCATTTCTAGCTACAAAACTAAACTGTTTTCCCTCTGCTTGTTCTCATTATCTTCTATCCCCTCTACCTTCTTCCCTCTCTCTTTGACTGTTCAAGAGAAAGGAAGATGAAAGAGATGAATTTTTAGCTTTCATTTTTAAAGTAAATTTTGACATATACCAGTCTACTGTTTACCAAAAGGCTGTTATAACTAGTTACTAGATGTCCTTTCAAGTTTTTACTATAAAAAAGCTGAGGGATATTGAGATTTGTGTTTGAAATGAATAGCCAAATAAGTAGATCTCAAGGTTTTTTACATCCCAGTCTCATGATTCTTAAAATATATTAAAATGATCATTTCTGATGAACCTGAAGATTTAAAATATTTTTTCCTTCTCAGTTATTCTCACAGGTATCCATCTTTCTCTTCCCTGCCACAATGTGTTCCAAAAAAATTTTGTCAAAGTTTGCACATGAAGATGCAGATTGTTTGCATTTTATGCAAGATCCCTAAAGTGGTGTCATGAAAAGGGAGATCACAGTTCAAAAAAGGTGTCCAACATCTGCCTTGCCAGAAAGGGGACTGATCAAGTCTACCAAGCAAAGAAGAGAAGGAAAATAGGATGAATCTGCAAGAAAGTTTAGGGTTGACTGCTTCTCAGTCCTTTCATGTGATAAATTTGAAGCTAAATAAAGCAAAAGAAATAAAAAAACTAAAGTGATCCTTCTCTCTACTGGCCTTTCGAGAATTACCTGATGGCAGCATTTACGGGGAACATCTGTTTGCAAGTGCTCTATAACAGTAACATTTGTATATCATTCCACAAAGACATGTCAAACTATTTCTAATACCTGTAACATGCCTTTTTGCTGACCTTTCTCAGCCTGGTTTGGTATTTATCATGGAAATATTTTCTGAAATGATTGATGTATTTGGATATTGCTTGTGTAACCAGAGTAGGAGAAGGTGTCATGTTGTTTGCAGGAGAAGGACAAGAGCAGAGGGAGAATCATTGGTTTCTGTGCTATAAGCAACTTATGCCATTTAAACTCATCCAGTCCTGCAAGAGAAGTTTAGACATGTTGAAACATTTTTTGGTGGCAGATTGAAAAAGCTGTCTAAGGATGGCACTGATTAATAGAACGAGAATGTCCTCCTAATATAACATCGAGGAAGGCAACTGGATGATGAATTTTCATTCATGGGAGATTGTTGGGTGCACACATGAAGTGATTCCCCAGGTAATACCAGTTGTGTCCCGTATCGCACATCTCAGTATTGTCTATGCCAATAAAAGGCACCACAGACACCTTTCAGCTGCCTCAGGTGGTGTGTCCCTTTGAGACTGGAAGAAGTAGAAGTCCCAAGTCTATCTCAGAAGTGATACAGGGTTCTTCAGGTTAATGTCTCAGATATTTTTGTGTTTTACTGTGATTCATGACTGTTTGTTTTTGTCCCCAGTTATTCAGTTCAGTGGAGTTTGGCAGAAGATGGCTGCTTCTTCATGAGGGAGTTGCACCAAACAGGTTCTACTGGTAAGAGCAAAAACCTCTTCCTCGTTTCCTAGACACAGCTTCCCTATACACAGATGTTGAAATGAGGTCTCAAAGGCAATAGGGCTGAATGCAACCTGCACTGCTGATTTGTTGAGATTAATTTAGAACTGGTATGAAAGGGGCATTGTGTGTTTATACAACACTTGAAAATTGTGTGTTTGAGCTAAGGGTGATGCACAACTGAAAAATACTGAATAACAATCTGAAGAAAGCATTGATTTGGGATAGGAGAGTGAAGATTTCAGTCTGGTCCTGCTACATTAAGGGCCAAAGCCTGAAGTCTTGGAATCTTTGAGGATACCAGCATTTCTGTCCCTGGTAGCAGTAGATTCCTCTCGTGGCTGTTGTGTTTTTAACTACTGTTAGATCTATGTACTCCTTGAAAGTGAGCAAGTTAATGACCATTGGACTAGAGGCACACACACTTCTTCATTATGAGCTTAAATCCCTCTGCAGTAAAGCTTCTAAGCAGCAGTGCAGTGTTTCTAGTCAGATTTCCAGCTGTATGAATCAGCCATGTGTAAGTTCCTCCTGTTGAATCTTTGAATGTCAGTTGTTTTCCAGCAATGGCAAACAATTTGCAAGTTTGATGCCAGAGTTACCTTGCAGAAGAATCGTGGCTCTTTGTCACTAATGCGAGTTGAACTCCCTGCTGCATTAGCATGTGCCATATAATTTGTATCTAAATTCACTTAGGGGCATTACCTACATGAGGCGTATGGGGAATCTATAATGCATGAATTTACTTAAATTATATATTCCAAATCAAAGATAAGGTTTTACTTGTGTTTTGCCTTATTTCTCTTTTTGCTTACACTGGTGTAAATCCGTGAGACTTCCCATCAGCTCTTCATGGAAGCAGCAGTCTGCCTGTGAGCAGAAGTGGGATTTTGTCTTGTGAATATGCCTTTCAAAGAGAAGCTTTTGATAAAATCGTTGTCTTGAAATCAGGAGGAGCTGAACCCAATGATTAAAATGAGTTCCCCATTGTAGTTTCTAAACTATAAATGTATGCCAAACCCACAGGTTTTGAACATATCAAGATTCGGGAGTGGTTCAGTCAAATATTTTCTTTTAATTTATAAAAAAATGTAAGAGCTCTAGGGCAAATTTACTTCTAAAGTTGAATTTTTGTTTGGTCTGCAAAGGATATACCAGAGATTTTGTTTGCTGCTCCTGCCTTTTAATCCTTTCTCAGAATCTGTGTTAGCTGAAGCTTTTGCAAGCTAAATTCCATTTTTAGGTTAAACTCATTTTTATGGAAGTGTCTGCATAGACAGACGTGTGTATTTGTATCACTATTTCTGTCCTGTAGGACTCCTAACAGGGTCTCAAAATGTCAGATGCAAACACACAGCTCTACACATCTTGGTTTTTCTGGGCTTATAAAAGCAGAAAGTCATAGAAATCTGGGAGCCCAGTCTTTGAGACGTCCAACAAAATTGTATTCTCTGAAGAGGGTCAGAGAGATGGAAAGACTGTCCCTTAATCCCCATATCCTGTACAGTACTCCCAACCTTTTGAAGTTTTCTGTAATTGCTTACAGATCTGATTTATTGTAAATTGAGCTGATGGATGCCTGCAATAAAAATAATGATGAAAATTATCATTTTCCCTTTCTATGGAGTTCAAACTTTGAAGGCCTCTTAGAACCTAACAAATAAGACAACTCAGACTTGGAACTTCAAAGGCAAAGAGTAAGTTAAAAGATGAAAAGATGTTGCAACCAGCCATCTAACTTCCCTGCAGCCAAAAACAAAGCATGAAACTGCAAGCCTGTATTTTCACCTTGAGCGGAATGTCCTTTGTATAACACATCTCAGTGTAAGCTAGACTGCACTTCTGCTACCAAAAGTAATATAACTTGTGGAGACAGTGCTGCTTATTTATCATGACCATCATCACCCTGGGAAAAAAAATACTGTTAACTGCAATTCTATGGACACTGTCTGTCCTCAAACCCACCCATAGTAGAAAAGAGCTGTGCATGTGTGATTGAGAACCTGTACAGCACAGAGAGCAACACTGGGCTTTTCTATGCACTTCCATTCCTGTGCAGCCAAGTAACCTGAGGATAAAAGAGGCATTGAAGTGCTGAAGCAGAAGGGCAGCCCTTTGCACTCAATGTATGGCCACCTCTGACTCCCCATGCAAGAAAAGCAGAAGGGAACTGGAATATAAGAGAGTGCAGGAGCACAGTTGAAATGCAAATTTCTGCAGCAACATCTCTGTATCTAGTGCTGGTGTACAAGTTGGATAAAACCTTGCTCAGTGCCCTATGGTTTGTTGTTGGTTGGGTTTCTTTAATTATTTTGGCTAGGAAGTATGCAGTCTTTTGAATCTGAAAAATCAGAAGACTGACTTCACTTATTCTTAAGAGTAGAAATAAATAGTGAGGTAAAATGTCTCAAAGTCACAACTTTCCGAGAAAAGCAGAACGTGGGGTTACCCTCTCCTGTTCCTGGTGCTTTCTCTAATTTAAATGTATTTGAAGGAATCAATCAGGACACAGCAGTAATGGGCAGAGAATGAAGGATCTTTTCTGTTGACTAGGGAAGGCTGAGGAGTTGCTATAATACAGATTGCTTCCAGTACTCTCTAAACTAGGTCTTCTCTAAAATCAGAAGATACAAAGCAAGGCCCTCAGCATCAGGCCTTCTTGAGGCTGCATTTAGTTAAACTGCTTCTTTTGATAGGATGGGTCATCTGGAAGACTTTAAAGACTTTTACATGAATTTGAAGGATTGGTGAAACCAAAGATGCGTTTTTCTTCTTGCTCACTGATATTTTCATTGCTGTTTTACTCTCTCGTGTCGTCTTGTAAATAGTTTGTGGGTCACTCTAAGTCTTGTGAAGGAATACGACTGGGCTTACTAGTTTTAGTCTTGAGAAGGCTCTACATGCAAATGCTGTCAGAGAATCTGTAGTGTTTTTTACAGGTGCAGTTCCTATATACATTTCTGAGAGAATTTTCTTCTTTATTTGCTTACTTTTTGGCTGCTCCATGAAACACTGCCTTCTGCTGCTACCCCAGAGAAATTTAACTCCCTGAAGAAAAACACTAAAGCAATCTGATAATGTCTACTACTGAGAAATAACTGAAAAAATAACTCTGAGAAAACACTCTGTGTGGACACAGCTCCTTGTAACTAATACATATTTTGTATTCTTGCATCCTCTCATTAAGAGGAGTCATTAGCATGAAAATAGAATATTTGTTTATTCAGAGCTCCTCTGTTTCCCCTTTTCATTCTTCCACCTGCAGCTCTAAGTAGTGCCCTGACATCCACACTTCTGATGAAAGAAATCTAATGTCACTTTGTGGAGGTAGATACAAGGTGAGACATAAACAGATAAACTCAAACCTTTAAAATAAGAGGTTACTGGAGTTTTTTTGTCTTAAAAATACCACCAAAAAACAGAATAAAACAAATGTAGAAAGGGGGATCTGTAATTTTCTACCTCATTAAAGACACATTTGTGCTGAGCAGGCTTTAATGATGGACTACTGTAAAATTGACATCTCCAATAATTTCAATATCATCACGTATCTGTTTGCATAATCTAATCATGTGAAAGTGGTATACTGAGGTAAATGTAATCCACTTAGAGAGTCCATCACATGTTATGTGTCAGATGGAGACATGAAAGAATCCACACTGCATACAACCCCAAGGCATGGCAGTTCTGCACTATATCAACAATTTTAATGTTTTTTTATCATTTCTCTGGCAGCTTCTTGAGATTTTGCTGTTAAATGTACTGTGACGGAAAAATGCATGAAAGTTATCAAGGTACTTGGTAATTCTGGAACTGTGTTCTATGAAAATACCTTAATTACTAGGAAGGAGTATTCTAAGTGGTAAATACTTCATTAGGGTGATACAGGAACAACAAGTTAGTATAACATGGATTATTGCTGATAGCACAGTGTTTACTGATGTAGTTGACATTAGGGGAAGAGAATGCAGTAAATCCTAGTTAAAAAAGTTGGATAAATGCTTTATCAAATAGTTCTGAGTTTATTTTTGCAATACTTGGTCATTTTTGACGTGCATTCCTATGGTGGAATTTTGCTGGTGAAGGTGCTGATTTGTAGGGAATACAAATGTAACACAGTTGGCTAATCAGTCACGTTGGGAATTACATTACTTTTTTTCTTTCTTTTTTAAAGTGGTCCAGTCATCTAGTCAGAGTTCACTAATGATACTTGTGACTTGCAAATCCAAATATCCATGATCAGTAGTTGCAAAAAACCTGGTCGAAGTGCATATAGTTCAATATGGCCAAAATATATATGCATTCGTTGCTCATTAAAAGCCAAGTTTTTATTCTAGTCCTCAGATCAAGTCATACCTTCTACCAGAAATTATTTTCTGAAAGTCAGTAAGTCAAGGTATCACAATTAGAGCTGTTCCTAAAAGAAATAAGAACAAAAGGTTAAAAATCTCATTAAAATGTCTTGAAAACGTAATGTTTTTTTAATCAAAATGAGATGTTTTACTGTTTAATTCTAATCAAAACCTAATCTTGAAAAACTTGGAGGGGAGAGGGAAGAAATAAAACCAAATAATAAAAGTGTCTTAAAAAGTAACATAAAATGAACAATACAAAAGCCCAACTAGTAAATTGTATCATCAAGTTATAATCATTATCTGTGCAGTGGTATTGATTTTATTTTTACTTATTTGGGTATTGCACACAGCCCAGCAAGTGGGAGAAATACAAAAGAAATACAACTCCATACCTTAAGAAGATCAGAGAGCTGTAGCACCTTTCCTTTGAAAACAGTCTGAGAGAGCTGGGGTTGTTCAGCCTGGAGAAGAGAAGGGTCTGGGAAGATCTTAGGGCCCCTTCCAGTACCTAAAGGGGCTACAAGAGAGCTGGAGGGGGATTTTTGACAAGGACATGGAGTGATAAGAAGAGGGGTAATGGCTTTAAACTGAAAAAGAGTAGGTTTGGAATAGATACTGAGAGGA